TGATCGTTTTAATTGCAAATCTGGATCATCGATTAGCTGTTTAGGTTATCAAAGACGTTTCATTCCAAGCCGATAGACAATCGGAAGCCTTCGGGAACCGAGATGATGACTGATAAGATAATACTAGGACGTAGACATGTTAAAAAGTGCAAATTGTTGTATGCTATTTAATAAGCATGTAAACGCCTGTCGTCAGGTTCTCCTGAGTATTGGCTTTTTATTCCAACACGTACGATTCCTTGTAACATCTAAAGCTGAACAGAACAAAACTCAAATTAGGCTGCTGAATAGTAAGATAGAAAGTGAACTCTAGCACTCGATTGGGCCACACAACTTTTTTCTTCAGCTAACGAGTGTTACGACCTTGGAACTCGGTACCAAACGAGACGCTTTCTGCCGACACCATTGCTGATTTTACGAGAAGACTTGATGGCAGTATATTTGACAAAAGGCGACTGTCACAACATGATCTCTCATGACCAGCCTTGTAAAAATTTTTCTGGCTCTAATTGGCTTTAGTGCTGTTTCGCATTGCTCCACGACAACTCACTCGAATATATGTTATGCTAACTGTCTACATCTTCATATTGACTGCAGCAATGAACTGGGGTCTTCAAATTAATAGGGTCCTCAAAGGCATTACTGGTCTGTAGCCCTTCAACTATACTGTCGCGCCAAAATTAACTTTCAACGGCTGTTCTGCTTTGGCATTTGACTTATGATCGTGAGTCAATATTTGAGTTGAAGTTGTGGGTTATAAAGACAGGGGTGGTCTGAAGAAAGAAGGTTGAAAAGTCTCAAGCTTTACTCGTGCTTCCTCGTCAAAAACAGTGACGCATAAAGAGCCAGTAAAGTAACCTACACATGGCGGTACAGGAGCTTTTATGAAGGAGAACTTTATTTATACATAGAGCAGACGGACGTGACCACTGAAATGCCAAAAGTCTACCACATTTACTATGACAGTGAATTGAAGTAATAAACTATGTGAATTGAAGGTTAGTTTGCGAGAGGACCTTTCATACTCTATAATCCAGTTGAGGCAGGAATGGATAAAATAACGTTCTACTTATTTCTTATGAGTAAAAAGTTCTGGTAAGTTTAATGAATATGATGTTCGCGAATAAAGCAACGCGCCTGTGATACGAGATCACTGTCGCCGTGAAAGAGGGGAGTAGACTTGACCGGATGTCCCAAAACTAGGTCTTCAGAGTGACCATATCCATTCGCGTTGCGTTTTTGCAGATAATCTATCGCATTTCTGGGTATTGTTGCTGCTTCTCCAACGCCAGCAACGACCTTTGTCGGTACATTTGCCTGCATGAGAAAAAAATAAACGTACAAATAATGAAAGGATAGTTAAGAATAATTAGGCATATCCAACATGTAAAAAGGGCGCAAAAAGTCGTTGTTTGAAAAAAAAACTACGAATAGTGAGGGGGAGGGGGTTTGAGAAGTCGACGCAGCAGCTTATCCCAGCGATCATATCTACTGCTTTTTCGCAATTACTTCATGGGACTCGCAAGTTCACTTGTATCGGAAGTTAGATTGTTGCAAACGGCTATAGAGGATTCAATACGTCAAGCAGTATGAACATTAAAAGAATATATTCATTAAAAAATTTCTGACATTCATTTCTGGGACTTGCGCATTACCAATTGCCTTAATTAGTTATTTCCATGGCCATTGTATTCTTAATAGCGACAGGGAGACGAGGCACGAACGTGCACCCATAGAACCGGCAGTTATACTATCATTAGTTGATGAATGTTCACTAATCAATTACGGGACTCACTCTCAAACCCTTTCAGCAGTCACACAGTGGCTAGTTTTAAAGGCAGATGAACCTTGCTGACAGAGACAAGGGAGGCTGGAATGACTATTTCTGGCTAATAAGTCTTCATCAGCCAGCCGTACCCAACTCTGGCTGGTACACCATCCGAGGC